ATTTACTGAGCGAATATATCCCTTGTAATTGCAACGCGATTGCAAAACCGGCGATAAATGACGCGGTTCGATGACAGAAGGTAATGTCATTACAGTTGGACATGGTAATCTCCGCTGTACTCGCGATATCACGAATATGCGAATGCGAGCGGCGGACTTGTCGCGAGTGCAATTGCGCTCCCTGCGCTCCGTGATGTTGCAATTACTGATATATCATTGCTAATACAAATTGCATTCCGGTATACGAGAGCGTCTCGTAGCGCGCGGTGCGGCTATGAATTGCGCGCGGAATCGAAGCTCTTCCTCAGCAAGTAGCTATTATTCAGCGCCCACGTCCACATTACGAGTTATCCGTAACGCATCGCTCGACATGTCGCGTGCTGGCTCGTCCGCGTCATATAAAAAATTCACGGTGCAACGACCGCTATTTTTCAACTGGCCACTGCGATCGCGTATTGTCTAACGACTCTACAGAAGCGGACTAGTGAAACGCGGAGGAGTGTCGGCTATAAGGTAATCAGCCGAGAAAGAGAGAGAGAGAGAGAATGCAAAAGTGATAAAAATTATGGATGGGTTGATTGCGTACAAGCACGCGCTTGTCTCTATTCTGTTATCGATTGCCTTCAACATATCTGAAGATAAGTAAATTGCTATCACAGCGTAAATTATAATTTTGAAACCATGTTTTTCGAAATTGTTAAAAATACTTTATTACGGAGATCGCAGCCTATTTCGGTGATTCTATACAATGAAAGAAAAGATTGACTGCTGCAGTAATTTAGATGATAAAATATGCGGCATATAGCATTTTTAATTGGCTGCAGCATCCAATTTTTTATTGCAGCAGTCAATTTTTGGTCGCAGAAGCCAGGATGGTTGCTGCAACGAAAAATTGACTGTTGCAGCCATTTAAAAATTCTATGCCACATATTCAGCTAATCTTTTTTTTTTTCAATGTAAAAGGACAAATCGGTTTTCAAAGATCCACGGGACAGTCAGCATGGTCCGGTCTAATTATATGCAGCTCGTCCAAAGAGCGTTTCTGAAATATTCACAAGGCGCTCGGACATTTTTTGCACAGACAATTCCGCATGTTCGTGCTCAAAGGCTTTGGCTGCGGCGCGCCCAGCTCGCGACGATATAGGCACACTTGTTTCTTACAGCGAGTTCGAGTATGACCGGACGAATGAATCCCGTTATGTTTTATTAGTGTGCAAAGAGCTGCTCGCTGGAGCGCTTTGCTGAAATGCACTCGACGGTCTCGTTTAACTGATATTAGACGAAAGGGAACCGCGGGGATTCGGGCTGGCTGAATTTCAGGCCGCAGCAGCACTGAAATATAACCGTGCGTATTTATGTATGAACGTATTGCAATACATACAACGTCTCGCAGCGGACGCATTATAAATAGAGAAAAATGATAATATATAGAATGCTTCCTGTGTATTCTTTTTAGTGCTCGCTTCTTGTTACTTCAATTATGTATATTTACGCGTTCCACATGCAAACCACTTATAAATAGAACGCATACAAATCAAAAGGCCGGTTGACACATTCGACATGTTTAATGCGTGATATTACAACGTACCGTCCATGCCAGCGCGCTATAAAATTTTAATGAAAAGTTCCGCGAGGCTAGTTCTCGGAAATTGATTTTTCCTCAGCGAGAAATTAAATGGCGTACCACGCTCGTTGCAATTTTTAAATGTTCAACATTGAATATTTCGGCCGTTACATTTCTCAAGTAAAATTTCCATTCGGTTAAAGCCCATTTAAAATTAATCAAAGATAAACCTCTGTTGTTTATTTACATTCTTGAATCCCTTGATTTTCTCGGAGGTAAATAGCTTCATAATTACGACGTTTTTTGTAATTTTTACTTAGGATCGACTCAAGTTTCACCGAAGAGAACTTGTTCTGCGTATAAAAGAAACGACGAGTTGCGTTTTGCTTGAGATCTTATCAAATCACTTAAAAATTGTAGAGTGTAATTTAGCGAAGACGGTGCTTGTACCGCGCGAAAGTGGCGTATATTTTGTCAAGATTTGTCAAAACGAAAGAAGAGGGAGATGAGAAAGAAGAGAGAGAGAGAATTAATTCTATAGCACAGAAACATGTAAGAAAAATAATACAAAAGCAGAAATATACAAAAAAGTTAATACTAAAATAGTATAAAAGAGCCAAGCAAGTGTTATGTACAATTAATTCAAAGACTTTACTCATCAAAGAAGAAGAAGAGGGGAGAGAGAGAGAATTTCTTGTGGAAATCCTTGGCTGCGTTCAACAAAAAAACGACAGCTGCACAACTGTTGTAATTTTTTTAAATAATGATTAATCTTGCCTTTAGTTCCTTACTGGATCCAAATATAAGACTCTGCGCACAATAGACAAAATATTAAGAACAGCAATAAGAGAAACAAGAAATAAAAAATAAGGATTAAACGCACAATAGATACAAATAAAATGTAAGACGTGTAAATATATCATATCTTATTTATATATCCATTGTGTGCTATACGTTTAACTTATGTTTTTAATTTATAATATCTAACATTTATTCCTGTTGTTGATATTTCTTCCGTTATGTGTGCAGGGCATAAACCAATATTAAAGAATCTTCCAAAGCTGCATGCCTTTTCCATTGAACGCAATCATTGTGCCTAATTGCATGACGTAAAATTGCAACGCAAACTATTAACTAACTACGCGCGTAGCGTAAGATATTTACATCAGTCGGGTGAGATTGATACGGTATCGCATGGTGCCTGAAATTGCCCCCGACAAGTTAGTTAACGAAGTTATCGCCACGATTAGCGTACGTACTCGTTAGTGTTTAATGCAGGAGGACCTTGATGAAGCCCCGGCTTCAGGCTTCGCGAATAATTCGTAGACTCGATCGGAGAAGATACTATGAGATCCAGAGATCCGACGACGCGTAGAGGGAGGACAGACGGCTAAAGAGAGAAGCGAGTCGCGAAGAGAAGCAGAGAGAAAGACAGAAAGGTCAGTGGTCGGGCAGAAGAGTGAGGAGAATGAATGAGTGAGTGAGTGAGTGAGTGAGTGAGTGCGTGCGTGCGTGCGTGACAGACAGACAAGGCGTGACAAAGAGAGTGATTCACAACGAGAGAGAGAGAGAGAGAAGCGGGAGAAGTGGGAGGAGAGGAACGTGAAAGAGGAGGACGACGAATGGAGCATGGACTGCAACGAAGTATCGTTAACCGGCGGGCACACACAAGAGAGTCCGTTCTCCAGACCCCGCTCGCTAGTAATCACACGAGTCGGCGACTGTTAGTATTGTGCCCGAGCTCGAATGCGAGTGGACTCATCGCGAGTCGCGCGCGACGTTGTGACCTCCGGCGTCGTGTTTTGTTCTCCAAGATTGAACCCACGTGCGTGTTGCGTGTTGTTGTCGTTGCTTTGTCGCCTGAGCGGAGTTTCTTCTTTAGCGGTCTGTCGATGAGGAAGAACTCGGACAATCCAGAAAATTGACTCACAAGAGACACGTTCTGGGAGGAGAGAGCTTGTGTATACGCGAGGAGAACGAAATCGACGATAAACCGATTCACATGTGGTGACTGTGGAGGGTCCGTAGATCAACTGCGACTCAACTGCGACCACTGCGAATGCTCACCTTGGAGCGGAGCGGGTTCGCTTCAAGTAGCACGGTAATGGCCCGATTTCATCAGCGAGCTTACCTTCTCGTTGGAATGTTAACGGTTTACCGGCGCTGCCGCCATACTCGTTCTAATCTAATCGGAATACACGGAGAGATTTTTCTCGGTGACTCAGACACGCATGCCCAACCTTGTTATTTTTGGAAATCACAGTAGCGCGATAAAACCACGTCTATATGTGATTCATTGATAGGAAACCAAATGCTCGCGCGAACCTCGAATCTAATATTCTTATTAGAATCGTCGTCGTTTTCATGGTTTAGTTCGTACTATTTTTTTTTCCCCTCTTGTTTATTTTCCAAGTTACGCCCACAGGTGTGTCACGATTGTTACGTAGATCGTGACACGGTTCATGGCTTGGTGCCGTTGCATGGCAGTGGAAAGATCTCTCGGCTCTACAAATGCATGCGCGTTCCGATGTTTGGTGCTCTCGGTTGCTCTTCGCACCGGCAATTGTCATTTTTAATCCTGTGTGGTCCAATGTTTTTCTTCCACTGCTTTTCTAGTCCAACCGGGTCATTGACCACAGTGCCTGATTGTGTTTTTTAAAGGGTTTTTGAACTCTGCAAAATCTGAAAAAATTCTGGAAAAACTCTGAAAAACACTCCTTTAACATTTAGGACTAAATTCCAAACATCCTTTCCTAGGAAACTTTTACTAGAAATGTACACGTATAACGTATACTATGTTATATCGAGTAAAATTTTTCTTGGAGAGGATGTTTTAGAAGGTAACTCAAGAACGTTTTTTAATTTTTTGTTCGCGTTTGAATTTGAGGCAAAATAATTTAAAATTAAAAATTCGTTTGGGTCTTTAAAGCTCCGCTTGGACCACGGAGATTTAGGAATCCGCGCACAAACGACCGACATTTATTTTCTCAATTATTCACCGTTAGTATGTATGTATATGTGCGTGCATAAACGGATGTTAATTTCTAAATATTTATTGTTTCTAGTTTACGTCACAGTGAGACACATGCGGTCCTGAAAAGTTTCTTTAGCTATTTCGTCATAAGAATGCGAAAATGCGACCTACATTGTCAATATTTTGTCATTCACAAAACTGCCTTTACGTTATTTCCAGCATTGACAATTCTTCAGTATTCGTTATTGATTTAACAATTTATCGCCCAACTTAGCGATGAATATTGATCGTATTCCCTTAAAAAGCTTTCTTTTCTTTCACTTTGATAAAACGCTTCTTTCTATCATCCAGCGAATATCGCTGGAAAGACTCTTTGCGTTATATTTTCGCAACCGCAGGTGCGGGTTGCAGTGCGCAGGTGCACGCGTACGTGCGGGTCCTTGGATATATGTGAGTGATGTAAGATGAACGAGGTGATACGCTCGTAATGACAAATGTGCCGCGGTGTATTCAATTACAAACAATCGAAAGGTACGAGAATAATGCGTCTTAATAATAGCATTTTCTGTGTCATGTTAATATTGTAAGAGCTATTTTCGCGCGCGAATGTACATATGTTTTCTATTCCAAACAAGCCATTAATAATAATTCATAATCGAAATGAAACAAAATGTAATTTTCAAAATTGTTACACAGTTATATTAAATTTAACAATACCATATAACGCTTTATTTTATTTTTCCGAAATCGTTATCTGGGATGTTTTTACACCTCAGCAGTGAAAAATTGTAAAATGTTATTTTTATAGATATTTTTGTAACACATTTTTTCTCTTTTTCAGTAACCATTCTTTACAAATCTTTAAATATGCAATTTCACTGAAAATCCGCGATAACAAAAAACGTTATATTATTTAAAATCTTTATTTTTCATATACTGTCATCCAAATAATGTCATAGCTACTTAACGCACTCATTCTGTTTAACATTTAGTTTTACTTTCAGAAAATTATGATTAAATCCACATATCCACGTAATCATAAATACTAATAAATTGGTTGGGACAATGTAAAGTGATGTTAATAGTAGTGATTTTAATTATAAAATCATCTCAGTTTCGTAAAGTGATCGCTTATGTAAAAACCATTTAAACATGTTTCATACGAGTACTAGTTCTTTTATAGTATGCCTTTGCTCGTGAGAGCTAATAATTGCATGCAAATCGTTCAACTTACATCGATCAAGTATGTATGCATAATAATTCTGATCACGTTGCACTTGCAAACATTCTCCTAATTAACTTACAATTAGATAGTGTATGATCTGCCGTCCTCCATTATAATCGAAGCCTTACTGCATTCAATGAACGCAGACAATGCGTCAAAAGATAAAGGAATTCCCCGCGAAGGTCAGTGAATCAGAAGTGAGAAAACAAAGAACCTTACAAGCGGAAAAGGAGCAGGCTCGCTTCGATGTGCTTAGTTTAACCTTCATATTTCTTCGTTATTCACGTAAAAATCTTGGTCTTCTATTTTGTAATCTCGTTTGCCACAAAGTTCAGCAATTCGTAAACAGTTGATTATTAATTTAATATGAAATGCTAATTTAGTAGATGACATAAAACGTTGTTACATAGAATGTAATATAATCCCACCGCGAATCTCATAAGATTTTAACGTCTTTAGAGAGTTGCATATTTTGTGCGACAAAATTGTGCTTCTTTTTATATTTTTATTTTTATGAAAAAGAGGATAGAAAGAGAGAGAGAGAGAGAGAGAGACGTTAAATCGAGCAAATGCAAACACGTTACAGGCCTATCTTCAGACAGCTGTGTTGATACTGTTGATAGTGCATCGATCGTAACCCAAGGGTTATGCGAGTTCGAACGACGAGAATAAGTAAATGTTACACGCGAGTTGTATTCGTTTTCAAAAATCCGGAAATACGTGTAGCTTCGAGAACAAACAGAAATTGCACTAATATCTGTTTCCGCGAAGAGAAGCCTAAGCAGAAAAGTCGGGGAATGAGTTTCATGAATAATTGAAGAACGGAGAATATAGGATTATCATAATGCGTGAATGACGCCGAGGAAAATCCTCATCAAGGTACTACCTACATCCGTTTGCGTTGCTTTAATCCTTATATACTACTATTACTTCTGTTATCTGTCGAGGTTAAGCTTGATACAGAGTAAGACAGAGATTATCGTTGAACATACACATTTTTAATAAAATACATTTCCATGGGAAATATTAAGAAAAGCTGCGAGAATATTTTTAAGCCGTTTAGTTTGAAAAATAACTCCATATAGATAGATAAATTTAAATAAGTAATTATTTAATAAAAGTAAATTGCACAATATTATAATTCGCGATGAAAATTTTTATCTCCTTATCGTCGATAAATGTAGCTAAATAGATTATTGATTGTATTATATATCTTTATCGTTCATTATCGAGCTCATTAATTACATCTAAATGCGTTTGTAAAATGAATATTATTCAGATAAATTATATCTTTGTGCATAAAGATTGATCGGCCTGATTCGCTATTTCATTATTTGCTCCATTTCGAAGCGTTATACACGGCAGAGTGATTTAACTTTTAAGCCTAATATATCGTTAGTGAGCAAACGAGTTTCTTGCTCAATTCCGGAAGCGATAATTTTGCACCTACACGAGAATTCCGAGCATAGCTATGCGTTATTATTTCATTGAGATAGTTCGTGAAAGCTACAATGAGAAAAATTAGTACGGAAACCAGTATTGACTTTTAAACTCAACGAACGTGTTGACTATCTAGTGAGTCTGTAAATCAAAAAAGAAAAAGGAAGAAACTTATGATGAAGCGTTAGCAGCTTGGCAATTGGCGTACACACCGTCTGTTAACATACATCCATCTTCTAACGATTTCTACATAAGATAATGACGACATTAATCGTTAGAAGTTGCATAACGAGATTGGCAGTGATTTTGCGTACAACTAAAAAGTTAGAGAGAATAGGTCACAATTTTTTATATATATTTAAATAGATATTCATAAATTAGGAATAGGATATAGGCAAATATAATTGGATATAGGCAAATTAGTATCTATACTTGGAGTGCAAAAGTAGGGAAAACTTGTAAAAAAATCCTATTTTTTTTTATTATGATAGGCTACGGTAGTGTTACGTGAATTTGATAAATTATTGAGATTTATTCACATGGTTTTAATAATATTAAACTTTAGTGACCTGCACAAGCCTAAAATTCTCGGAGAATGGAAACTGAAAATGTATCTGGAATGCTATATCAATTCAGACAGGGATGAATGACGAAATCAGGTACAAAGGGACGTCAAGAAAATCGGGCCTTTTCGGTCCTGCTCGGTATTTCTCGCAAACGTCTCATCCAGATGTTTCTTTAGTTCACGGAATATTCTACGGCATCTAGGTATTCTTTTATATCAGAAGTTCAGCGTTTCGATTCTTGCGTTCTTTCTCAATATTCATTCATCATCATTATTGTTGCTTAAATAATTCGAAGCTATTCTTCATTCCTTTAGTGAATTTAAGACTGTATGACTCTTTTCTTAATCTTGTATTTAATTTGTTGCATGTGTGTTCGATTTCGTAATATCTATAACTGTAAACTAAGGCGAAGGCATGAGCACGCAACACCAAGCATATATGGAACATTTCAAGGGTATTGCAGAGATGCAGCTCATAGATATTGCTGAGCTGAATTATCTATTAGACATTGTGTTTCAATAACAACGTTGTCAGATAATATATCATTACGATTATCGTCAGACTGTATTATGTTGTAGTTGTTATACGATAAGGCAAGTTTGTCATCGAAGAGAAACCGAGCTTAGAGAGGGGACAAAGTTGTGAGAACGAATAGAGATGCGTTTATTCTGTCTAGTGCGTCGATCGTAGTTGGTCGGGGTTGCAGTCGGGTTTCTTTTTTTCAGTTCTTTTTGTGTGACGTTAATTCGACTCAACGAGAAGGTGCGATAACGATTATTAATTAAACCGTTAGATTAATTCATAGTGCAAACTAAATTTACCCAAAGATTTATTGGTTTTTATGAACTTAAAATGGTTGCTTAATAAGTAATCTAAAATGATTATTTAATAAGAGTGTTAAATAAATAATTATTAATGTGATACATACAAGACGGGATGTGATATGAAATAATAATAGAAGAATCTCATATAATTGCACGTATGTGTGCGTAAGCGTGACTCACGATTCTTCTTAATTCCTCATAGGAGAGTGTATAATTAGTACAAGTACGCCTTAATTCGTCGTTTAGTTGTTTTCCCATTATCCCGTACGATCTCTATTGCGAGCGTGTGAAAGACTTGTGACGATGCGATATTGTATGTTCAATGTGAGGTCTAAATCCCTCCCCTCTTCTTCTCTTTTTCACTCATTCTCTTTTTCTTTCGCATGCATCTTTCGTCCCACGCGCTGCTCGTGCTGCTCGACGAGATTATGTATCCAACTCACCGGCTGGTGAGAAGCGTCGGTTGATCCGCAAGAAAAATCTGCAACTTCGTACCTCGGAATTTTTCTTACGGAATGCGTAAAGAATACCCTCTCTCGAGCGTATTTTCACCAAAGTTTCATTGAAAAGGTATACCGCCGCTTGATGCCCGTAAGTTTTCGAGAAATACGTCTTTCATAACTTTACGGGAACTCCGTTGAAATCTACGGGCGATGCCTTTGGATACACGAAAATAGATCCCAGCTAGGTTGGCAGGCCACCAGCGCGAAAATAATTCGCGATACAGACTAACGGTTATAACGGCGAAATTACCTTTATCGTCGATATTCTCTTATTATTACGAGTGCACAATTTCATTGAGGCATATAGTAAGATAGTAGCGTATACATATACTGTTGGCAAACAGTATATATAATACGTGTGACAAGCTAAATCGTCCAATATTAGCTGAAATCCTTGGCTAAACCTAAGTCAAATAGAAGAACGTCCGAAACTACAAATCTGAAATGTCCCATACTGGATTACGTACTCGATTTGCTCTGTAAACATTTACAGCTTTTTGCACTTGCGGGCCGCGTGCAAGAAGTTATGCGGTAGCCGGTGAACCATCTGTTTTCATGGGAAAAGTTATTCCGGAATAGCTAGGCTAGGTATCATTGTACTATACACAGTTACACACACGTACAATTACACAGAAAAACATTTATCTTATGAACAATGAGAACTTGATAACAAGAAGTATTATAAAAAAATTAAAAATAATTACACACACACACACACACATATATATATATATAATTATACGACATGATATATTTATGTGCACAGAAATCGCATTTATTGTTGCGATAGTAATCAACCATCGCGACTAACTGCATTGTGAAATATAGACGCTTTTTATTTGATGATATAAGTCAACACATCAGATATCGTTCTGTCTTTGTTACTCGTAAGTGTCATATAAAAGAGAGACAGAATGACGTTTGTGTCAATTTGTGTTCTAACTGGAAAGTATATTGCGATGTTGTTTGGGTCGATTGTTATCATGTTTAGTCCCCTCTTTGAATGTACGAAATGTAGTTACGGACCGTGTGTTCACAGGGCGATGCGCCTACTTTCGATATCGATCGGGTCAGGGAAGCGTTAATCCGTCTTACATCTAGGAGTATTCCCTACGACACGGTATATAGACATGGAAAGGCAATTTGATTATCACGATATTAAAGTTTAATTTCGATCGAGGCCGTGTCGATTTTGATTGATGACATCTTTCCGATGATCGTTAATTCAACGAGGTAAAATACTGCAGTTGAAATTTTCATGTTATTGCTATATGTATAAAGTAGTAGGGGTAAAAGTAGTCCAAAAAACCGATACAAAACAATCAACTAATGCGTCTTTTATAGAAATACTAATAAATTAATTTATGTTATATATATGTAAAGAAATATATATGTAATGTAAATTAATAATACGTATTATATTTTATACGAACATTAATATTAATATTTTAGATTATATGTATATACCGTTTGAGATATTTTAAGTAATATTATTATTTCACTTGAAATGTTATAGCGTGAGCGTTATATTTACTGAAAGCGATCGATTTCACTTAAAAAATCTTAAACGAAGGTAGATTAACGGCTGCAACAAAAGCAGGAAGTAATGACGTAATTGTAATGTCTTCGAGAGGCAATAGCCGTATCCATGTCATTCAACACTACGTCGCGTAACTAAAGCTCCCTTTTGCCTCCGTGTTGCCGCGGCAAAAACTTCTCTCGTGTTTCTTTCGTGACTGAAACATGGAAGTAACATTAACCTACTGCACTCAATATATATTCGTGTGACTTTTGCGTGTATATCTTTAGTGATTGTGATAGATTTTCTGTTAGTGTTAGTGTGAAGTTAGCCGTTTTACGCTAAATAAATCTTATACGCCACTTCTTTACAGAATATCTGTCTCATTATACCTAGCTAATAAATTTATAGTCCATAAAGATGTCAATTATAACTATTGCTGTTTAATGTCAACTATTTGGTTTGAGATAAAGAAATATAGGACTCATTACAAATTGTTGTTCAAATGTCACGATATGTATATATATTAATGTATATTGAAAATTTTGTTTGTACATATGTATTTCCGTTTATCATTTCTACAGTTTACTATTTCGTAATTTGACAGAAAGTAATTATCTCTCTCGTTAAAGTATCTATCTCTCATGAATTTATTAGAAAATTTGACGTATTTCAATCAACCTTCTCAAGTTCTACTTCTAAACAATTATGTGTTTCGCGTGTGTTACCATGGATGATGCGTGATTCTGATTGGCGTTGCGACAACAATATCCAAGCATGCAACTCTCCTCCCGAGTGTATTAATCGATCGATATCGACGTGACCCAGCAGGTTTCGTTCAAGGAACGTGTCCCGGAAAATAGTGATCGCCATCACATTGCATTCACATCAAAATTGTTTTAATACATTTTATGCGCACGTCAAACTGCTCGGTCAAAATTAAAAGTTGTCAATTATCAAGAATTAAATTTGAAAATTTATGTCCCTTTCAATATTCTCGTCTAAAACTTGACGATAATTCAGTATAGCGATTTATGTATTGGTATGTTCGCTTCAACAGGTTTCAAATTGAAAAACATATATCGTGCAATAGGTATGTTAGATATTTTTAATCTATACCTAGCTTGAAGTATTATTTTAATATATTCCGGAATTTTAATACGTATATAATATGTACCGCGATAAAATCGCTATACAGTATCATGCATAAAAAGCACGATTATCTCGCTCGTTGTCATGTATTTATCGCATGTGCTGAAGTATTATGCAATGTTGATTATTTTTGCAGTTTCAATAAATGTAATGACAGGCGAATTGATTATCGTATCTTTAATTTGTGTTCTCAAAGCTGGCGCGTGTTCCGAAGCGGTAGGCTTGTCAAAGGGTGATCAGAAGGAGGACGAGCACGATCGTTTGGAGGAGTCAGTCGATCCATTTAGTTTAGAAATGGGTTGCTGTGGTTGTGCGGACGAGCCTTCGTCCAAAGTGGAACCATCGTCTAAAATGGAGCCCACGGATCCTACGAACTCTATGGTAAACGTTTTCCCTACCCTATATGACGCTAGTTAAAAAAGGATCCGCATATTTATGAATGTAGCATGCTAAAAATAATAACATTCATAAAGTGTTTATGTTTCTCAAACACGAAACTCAAACTTAAGTCTTACATGAAAAGAAGAACGTTTTGCTGGAGTAAAAATCTGTGTCTATATAGCTAAAAATTTAGGTAGATCCTGAAAATAATTTTATTAGATTGTCAAATTATCAATAATCGTAGGAAATTGCAAGGAATTTCCAGTTTGAGGATTCTGCATAATTATTTTGATATTTTTGATGATTTCATAAAATTATTTTCAAATATTTTTATTTTTAGATATTTTAGAACCGTACTTTCAACGATTTTATTGAAATATATCATTAATTTTATTCATTAAATTAATCAACCTAATTTTTTCTGTAATAAATATAATTGGTTTGCAGCTATATTTTCATAGAAAGAACGGTTTTGCTGGAATGTCTATAAATTTAATTAAAAATACAGATTTGAAAATAATTTTATTGAACCATTAAAATAATTGTACAGGACGTTCAAGCTGATGTCGCAAAAATGTTTTGACATTCTAACAATAAATTTGAGCATCTTACATAATTATTAGCTAAATCTAGCTAAATTTTTCAATACTTTAGCAAAACTATTCTTCCGTGTTGACTAGTACGCTTTTATTTCTTCATAAGTATTTGATCTTAAATTTTCCATTTGAGAATAAAATCTCTTTAAAATCGACTATTTATTTTATATAATTCTTCTTTTTTAGACACCTAATAATCAAGGCTCGCCGTCGAGTTATTCAGAGCAGATATTCGTAAAGGATCGATCATGCACCGATTTTCTGGCTATAATCGTTCTACTTGTTCTGGCGGGTGGTTTTGTAAGTAATATTATTTTTTTATTCGCGTCATAACGCCAATATGTTCGCTAAATGTAATTCGCGCGTGCTAGGTCTTCATGATGACGAATGTGGTGAAGAAAGGTGACATTTTCCGCGTGATAAATGGATACGATGATTGCGGAAATGTTTGCGGTCGCATAACCTCGTATGAAAATGACCCGAAATTCAAGTGTAAAGGTGCTGATTACACCAACAAACCGTGAGTGCATTTTGAAGTATTAGATTAAATTTCTTTAGAATTTGGTCGTACAGTTCACATATATTAAAAGTGGGATTTATGTAAAAATTCCCTGATTTGTCAGAAATAAATATAAATTAAATAAATTATTATTAAATTAATTAAATAATTAGACTGTATTATAGCAGGACTTAAGAAAAAATGAAATTCGAAAAAATTAATGCAGCCTAGGATCAATAAAAAGGCTAAAACATTATAAAATAAAATAATATTAAACTATTGATTTGATATTAATTGTTATGCTACTTTATATATCAAAAGGTCTTGAGAATTGATTATATTCATTGTCTTTATTAATAACTTATATTCTATATCCATTAGGTATCTCGAAATTGATATAGAAATGACTGGAGTGAAGAAACGTACATGTGTGGAGAACTGTGTGCAGGACGAGACCAATAAGTTAGTAAAATTGAGACTCGTTACATGTCTTGCGTTTCTGATTATGCTTTTCACATTAATCTAAATAATCGCTAGAATCATAATCACAGACAGTTTCATGCACTAAATACAAACTTAATTATTTTCTCTTTCATTGTTTTCTCTAACATAAATTTCTGCTTCTCTGTCTCCTAGAATATTATTCCTGAATCGCTGTATGCATAAGAAAGTGACAGAAACTATCAACTCCATAATAAGGACCCTTCGGTTAGAAAGTTTTTACAATGTAAGTCCTATTTGTATGAATATTTTCTGACATTATTCCTTGTGTAAAAATCGCTAACCTTTCATTTTGTTAGAATCTGATCTTGAATTAAGAAAAATATGCAGATTATTTTTTATTGATGTTTCTTATTTTGTATATATTTTTGATTACATCAATAATAAATAAATTTTACGACTAAGTAATGAAAGTCTGAACGGTTTGAACCGTTTAGTTTTTATTTGATTTTAGTGCTTAAATAATATTTTCGGTACGAAATATATATACATGTATATATATGCAGTTCTGTAAATTGAGTGCCGAAATTATTTTCTTGAAACTCAATCATAAGTCAAACTTCTAAAATGTTTATTAGCATCAATATTATTAAATTACTTATCAATTTAATTTATGACATTACCGTATTACTATTTCAATTCGGCTTATGATTGCATTTCAAGAGTGAAAATGATTTCGGTGCGCAGTTTACAGAGCTGTTGGATGTGTATATAAATTCACACTTACTTAAATATTATTTAAGCACTAAGATCTAGCTTAGACCGTTCAGACTTTCATTACTCAGTTATATACTCACATTTGTGGTCTTAAGGCACTTTGTTTAAATATATTTTATTCTAATTTCCGAGAATTTTATGACACTTGTACCTTCTTCTGGCAGAAAAAGAATCCATTTTTTTTTCAACATTATCGAAGAAGTAAGAGAAAATATATCTATTCTAGAAGGAAAAATTATCGTTCTCTAAGCTAGATAATCATATATTTAGAAAATAATTCGGAAATAGTCTGTCTTATAATTTAAATAATATGTTACATTTTAAATAAAGCTTTAAACTAAATTATCTCAATTTTTTTTCTTAAAATTTATTTATTTTTGTATGTTAACCATGACGCGTTCATTAAAATTTAAGATAAGTGGATTAATTAATTTTAAACTACTCAAACATAATAATTTGCAAGCAATATATATCATTTGCGGTATCATCTCGATTGGTTTAAATAAATAATTCATCGATAAAACGTATCATTATTTCAGGATGCAGTTACTGATCTGGGAATCGCATGGCGTGAATTGATTTATCTTTTGCTTATAGCTTTAGGTAGGTATTCAAAAATAAAACATGTAGCATATGTTATTTATTATTTTAATATTATATCATTTGCAACTACCTATTTCTTGCCGTATGTATAAATATGATTTCTCCTCCTTTTTATTTATCTGTCTATCTATATATGTATATATATGTAAATCTCAAATATTTTATTAAATTCGATAATATTCCAAACAGTTTGCAGAATGTAATTGGAATTCGAAAAATTTCAAATAGTATTTTTTTATGTTAACAGAATAAACTTTTATTTTATCGACAATTGATTTTCGCATATTAAATTTCAGTTTTAAATTCTTATATTATTTCTCTCTTTCTACGCGATACAAAACAGGGGCTTTGAGTGATTGATTGCGACCAACGATTTTTCAGCACTTTCTCTCGGTATCCTGGTGGCCTTCCGCTATATGGTACAATATGTCATTTATGTCGTATTGATCGGCGCAGTTTTGGCTTGCATCGGTGGCACAACGTATCTCTGGTAAAGAGAATTCTCTCAGTTTTTAATAATTAAAACGATTAATTATTAAAACTGTAATAAAGGTTACATCTTAAATCATTCAATCTAAAAATTCCTACATGAATGGAATACCTATATAGAAAGAACATTTTGCTGAAGTATTTGAAATTTTAGATAGATACAAATTAAAAATAGTTTTGTTCGACCATCAAAACAACAATGTAAAATTTTCAAGCATGAGAGAGTTTTGCACGATTGTTACGATGTTTCAACAAAATTATTTTTAGATTGATATCTAGCTACATTTTTAAATAATTCAGCAAAACCGTTCTTTCCGTGCACCTATTATTTAAATTTAGTAAAATAAGTTTAATCTTTTATGCAAAGGCTAGCGTGGTACCGTGAAAAAAGAAGCGTGGAAAGAGGCGAGGTCTATCCGGATGATTCCAGCGTGGAACCCTACTTTATCTACGCTATTATTATGTCTGTTGTTTCTGTAAGAAAAATCGTTACATCCGCTATATTCACACACATTTTACAGATGAATACATATAATATAACCGCATATAATATATTTCGCAGGTGATTGTTCTTCTAGTAATTCTAGTAATGAGGAAAAGAATCGAACTGGTCATGCAGCTTTTCCGAGAGGCGGGTAAAGCTGTATATTCGATGCCTGCGTTGCTATTTCAGCCGATTTATGTGAGTATATCTCGTTTCAATTATACAAGTTCGGTTCACTTCATATTCAATTGATCTTACGAACGCGGAAATATTCTTTATTTTCAGACCTATCTGCTGATCGGGTCTACCGTAGTAGCATGGGTCTACTGTATGCTATGGATAGAGAGCGCTGGTGACATTTACTTGAATAGAAAAAATCACGTTCATTTCAAGAAAGATGCGCTGCTTATTGTACGTGAGCATATTTTTTTATCAATTATGATAAAGATTATATTTCATAGGATAAATAAATATTCACATTTTCAGTTATCAAGTGGGATCTTTAATCTAATGTTTTTGTGAATTTTATACATTTTGCCTCAAGGATATATTATATCCTTTAATAAAATGAAAAATTTTTTAAATTACAAATTTTTCTATGTTGTATTTGAAATGCAAAATCGATAAAAAAAAAAAGTAAAAAATATAGGCCTATAAACGATCTAATTAAGATGTATATTTAACAATAATCTTTAATTACGTAATGAAGAATGGAACGTTTTGGCTTACTTAGCTGGAAAATTATTTCACATAGACGTTTCGAAATATTAAGCAATATTATACGCAAATCACATGAGAGGTACGTCGTAATTTTACAAACAATAATTTCCACCTTTATTAACGTAAAACGTGGAAGATTATTGTTCGCGATTATATGAGAACGAATTATTGATTCTCAGATACACTTTGGCATTCGTAACAAACGTACGGTGGAAGTTATTATCTGTAAAATTGCGCTATGCCTCATATGATTTGTATAGTATCGCTTAATGATAATTCGAAACTAAGTCTATATGAAATAATTTTTATAATGGCTGAAGATGACTAAGTAAGCCGAAACGTTCTATTTATCACTATGTATAATTAAAGATTATTATTAAATAAAAAATTATTTTAATAAGAAAAGTTGATATATTTATAAAAAATAATTGAAATAAAATGAGACAATTTTTATATAAACTACAAAATTATATTGTTATATATAAATGTTGACCTTATTGAACTGTTTTATATGTACGTAATATTTATTTTTATATGAAAAGTATAGATTTCCAATTCCAGTCACTTTTGGCAGAAATAGTATATTTAATATATTCTTAATACTTTCAAATATATAAAATTCATAGAAATCATTAGGCACAAAATATGTTTAATATCAAATACTGAAATATTTTTATTCTATATCATGTATGTATTAATTGTTATTTAATTTATCAAACTATATTTTGTGTTTATCTTTATAATAAATGGAATTAATTTAGGCAACAAGATGGTACAATCTATTTTTATTCTTCGTGGCGTGTGAATTCTATTTGGGTTGCCAGCACATGGTTGTTGCTTGCGCTGTTGCCCGATGGTTCTTTACAAGGTGAGATCTTTATTAGATATACGAAGTTCAAATAGAAAAAATAACGCAATAAAAAGTTAATTTGTATGTCATCAGTTCATCAAGTTGTAGTTATAAAAAAAATAAAATGAGTACTTTTTATGTGCTCGAAAATATTATCTGCTAACATATAATACGTATCTAGAAAATTTTCACGAAGCATTATTGAATTTCTTGCTAATGATCTTTTATTTATATAGTATAAGGTGTTTGACATTAGAAGAAATACCACTTATGTATAAGTAGGTAAAGTGGATTAAACTGACAATGTGTGTCAATCGAATTCATAATTTTCACAATAATTAATAAGATATTAATTTCTAAAAATGTCCGAATAATATAAGCACGTATTCACCCGATTTATTGCCAATCACAAGCACGTGGCGAGATACAATCGTTCAGTAGGTTGCTATATGCGCGACAACTTGTTTACTGCAAGCAGCAATGGCAACCATGAACGATGAAAAAAAATATCTTCCCCGCGTTGTCGTATCTTTCTGCATGTTTGCGTTTAGTGGTTACGCGAAATGCGCACATTTGGCTATCTTTATTAATTAATTTCTCATTAGTCATTACGAAAATTGCAAAATAATACACAGTACTTTTCGATTCATTGTCAATTTAGCCTGCTCTATCTATCCACAAGTTCCATCTAACGTCAAACATCTTGTATACATACCTATATGATGTTTAACATAGATTATGCTTTTTCATAGTATTGCATGAATTTTATAGAGCAGTGCATTATATTTTAACAGGGATAAAAGAAGTCTTTCTTTACCAGTGGCAAAAGGTTTCGGATATCTTATAAGATATCATTTGGGTACCGTGGCTTTCGGAGCTTTAATAATAGGTATTGTTAGAGTTATCAGAGCCATGATAGCTTTCATCCAAAAACATCTAAAACGATATGACAACGCATGTGTAAAAGGAATTCTATGGTGTTGTCAATGTTGTCTCTGGTGTTTCGAGTGTGCTTTAAAATTTCTCACTAGGAATGCTTACATCGAAACAGGTAATTCCGATATTTTTATGACATAAATATTGATTTGAATTTGTCATCGGTCCTAAATATCTTTTCTTGAATAATATGATACATAGATAATAATTAAAAATAAAAATTAAATATATTTTTTTATTAACATACCAAAAAACGATGTTTTCCAGCTATATACGGATGCAACTTTTGCACCGCTGGAAGAAAGGCATTCCAGGCCTTGTCAAGCAACATTTTACGAGTAGCGGCGATTAACAGCGTTGGCGATTTCGTCCTTTTTTTGGGTAAAGTCCTCGTTGTCACTCTTACCATCGTTTCAGGAATTTACTTGATGCAGGTACAGGTAAATTAATTATTATATACTGTATTTTATATTTCAAGGGCTTTACTAACTTTAACTTTATGCCTTTGCAGAAAAAGGAAGGGCTTAATCATCCTTGGATACCAATCACTCTCGCAGGGATATTCGCATTCCTTGTTTCGCATTGTTTCATATCAATCTATGAGGTGATGTAAAAAGCAAAATATACGTAAAATGTTGTTAAATAAATGATACAATCCTCATAGAAATGATAATTTTTTTCAGATGATTATTGACACAATATTCATATGCTTCTGTGAGGACTGTGAGAAAAATGACGGCATTAACCGACCTTATTTCATGAGCCGCGGTTTAATGGTTCGTATTAGCCTTAATGAATGCATCATTTTTATCATATCTTAATCGTTATTAAGACATTTATATATGAACAAAAATCTTGTGCTCAGGAATTCGTAGAGAACAGCAAGAAAGCTTTAAGACATCTAGAACAACAACGAGGTGCTGCAGCTTTATAACAAGCGTTAAGAATATATCTTTTTTCAAAGAATATATCATATTATTTTAAATTCGATGTTCAGTGCCAGTGCAACAAGACAAGCTCGTGAGTTAAGTTTGGACAGGTCTGTTGTAATATATGGATCTTTAAGAGATAATTGCAACACGTACAGAAATAGTTTCTTTTCATATACGCATAAGTTGTCTTCTTTTAACATACAGGGGTGCGTTCAAAATCGTCATCTGGATACATCTAGATGTTGTTTCATTCTTGTTGTTCACGAATGATAAACAAGGATAACACGACACCTGGGTGTCAGATGAGGATTCTGAATGCAGCCTAACACAGTTATTGAAGTTCTATAGCAACAAAGTGTGGTGCGCACAATCGATTGTTTCGATCAATGGACTGACTAGTCTGACAACATTATAAGGAATGTTACGAATCATTCTATTTTCGAAGTTCCTATTTCTAAAAATATTTTTTATATAACAAGATAATTTTTTCTACATAAACTTAGATGCGACGTTCGCACAATTGCGAATACGTCGATTTGGCAGCCTGAACCTAGACATGTACTTTTTGTACCATGATTAGTGAACAAATTAATCTATAAGATCTATTCCACATTCTATAGCATAAGTTTACATATAGTTATATTGTTAAAATGTACTCGTTCTTTATATTTGTTGTAAATATTTCTTTCTTTTTTATAAAGAAGTGCCTATAATTGATAACTTTTTATTTTGATACAAATGCCGTTTAAGATATAAATAGACAGCTTTAGATATAAGAGTTATTTCAAAAGAGGAATATAAGATTAATATTGTATTGTATATTCGCGAATAAAATTTAAAAAAAGATTTGACATAAGATCTTATTTCTTTTTATCTTTTTCATAAAAAGATAAGATGTCGAGAAAGATAATGTTGAAAAAAAGAGGATGTGGGTGAAATACGAAGATTTTACGGGACAGGTGTTAACTTTTAATTTTAGTTTATTTTATCTGGGCACACAGTGCATGAACGCTCATGCTTGGCGGTTTACAGATCTCATGTTATGCCGGTTTAGCAAAGTGATGTATCGTTAACACTGAGCTGGCAGTAAATCGGGATGACGAGTCGGACACTACGAGGGATGATGGGAGGGACTTTGGTCTGTTCAGGCCGGATAGACGTTTAGAACGAGTGAAAAGAGTAGACCGTTTAGAAAATTCTCTCTCGTACTTGCGGTGCAGCGCGTTCGAAACAGCGGAATTACTCGCTAAAATGGAGAGGATGGGCGACTAACACGAGCAGCGCAACAGCAAGAAGCCGGCAAGTTCGCAACAAAATCACACACATTCAATGTGATACGTCAGTTTGCACTTAAATTTCGCGACATACATCATATACATATCGCATCTCAGGAAATTCAGTTTAATGGATCAGCGTTCCGTATTATAGCACGAAAATATTTCTCATTCTCTCTTTTTTTCTCTTACTTATCAATAGCTCTCCTAGAATAAGTCGGTTTTCCCAGGATATAGGAAAATGCCAAAGATATGTACATGGAAGAGACACTTTGCTCTATTTGCAACTCCAGAATATACATTATTCGAATTATGTGAAAGACGCCTTCGTTTTGTTACATAAATATTATAATAGGTCCGAGACAAGCCGTACGTGACTTAGAGGCGCCTGCAAGAAAATTCTTGAGCTTCACGCTACATAGACAATTCTTTCATCGTCGATTACAGCAACAATTTTCGTCCAATTACTCGTAGCTGAGAAGACTCTTGTATCCTAAAGTCCTATCGTTCCCGAGATATTATTCTCATACACCGTAATAACGTTAATGCCCATGTGTACACCATGATTGTTAGCTCCGAGTTTCGAAAGTAGCTCCCGAGTTGCTGAATACGCTACAATATAAGGTGAAAAAGATAAAATTGAATTGAATTCTTAAAATCAACGACTACACCGACACAAGGTACTTGGCTTTGTACGACTTTGTATTGCACTTTGTAGCTAGCGCAAACTTAGGGGTCTGTGAATCTTAATTATTATTTTTGGTCTCATTTAGGTCATCGTCATCGTGCGACGCGCAGGTAGCTGGTAGTCGAGATGTCGAAGTCATTGCAAAATTCTCAGTCTTTATCAAAACAGTTACCATCGACACAATTGCAAACATAGTCGCAAACTTAAAAACGAAAACCGGATAGTAAAGGCTCGGTTAACGAGCAGCGCGAAACGATAATTGCCTTATATTGACATCGTCCTACAATCATGTACCATTTTTGAATTTCTGCTTTCTTATATCTTATATCGCTTTCATCCTAATACGTCGTATGTGACATACGAGAATAATTCGAAAAGTTCTCAACCTGACACAGAAATGACATCACAAATATCAAACTGTTATAATTTTAGACAAATTTTTGATACTACATAGGGATATTGTTAAGATTTTAGACAAATGCGTTTATTAGTTAATTTTGTTTGAATCGTGTAAAGCAATCAACTTTTTGTTTACAGTTCTTTAATTTTAGTCCTAAAATTGCACTTCAAATTGATTGCAAGCACGTATTTATCAGATTTAACCTATAGTGACTTTTTTCTTTTTCTAAATATGAAGAAATAGTTCGCAGAAAAAAGATCTGACTCAAATAGTGAAGTAATCGATGAAACAAATGCTTTAAAGACTTATATAGAGAAATCGTACTGTACAGACGGGGTATGAAAAAGATTATAATTATAAATAAGTATATTGAGCTGTGAAAGGAGACTGTTAAAAAATTAAAAAAAGTTTTTGCCGAAAATTATGTTTTCCTTATCAAACCAAGAACTTTCTGAACTAGTCTCGTGCATATTATAAAATGGGAAAGCTGAATAATGCCTGAACTTGTGAAAATGAATTATCTCGATGCTTTTCGAGCGTCCAGCACTCGATTGTCATAAATTGACATAGAAATGTAATAAAAGGATCGGGATAAAAATGATCGAATGATATAAAGAAATTATATCGTGACGAGAAGAAAAAATAAAATCTGAGTTTCTGCTACATTAATGAGAAATATACTTCTTATTTTAAGATTGTAACACGCACTTTTGAATAGCACTCACGATAATGACGATGATAGAAAAACGATGACGATGACAGTATCCGTCCAGACGACCGTTAATATGTGGCGCGAACATCCGAGGAAATGAATGATCGAAGAATGTTGCAACGTGCTCAGCCGGCAAGCACAGTCAACAGATCTTGCACCTACTGTCCGCTGCCAATTATTTAGATCTACAAGAATGGATTGATAGATGACGATTATCGCCTTACTCTTAAGCTTCTAATATTTGCGCGCAGTACTTACATACTCGGTGGGCTTTACGTTGCGCATTGCTTGCTCAAGAACACTTCTACTCCCGCACCGGGTTTAACGTATACAAATACCGCGGAGTTTCTCTCCCTTAATCGTTTCCTTCCTTTCACTTAGACGCAATTCAGGCTACCGTTGTACAACACTCGCATTTCTGTCCGATGTTAATTTATGTTTTAATATATATATATGTATATATAAATATAGTCATTATAGCCATTTTGAGACTCTGTTCATCTTAATAAGTTAGGAAGCTTTGTAAAGGCAATGATGTATCATTTAGGGGAAAAGAGAAAGACGAAGGGATCGCATTGAAGAAAAAGAAAAAATTGAAAGAAAGAAAAATGGAAGGAGGAAGACACTTTTCGCACTGCATGACTCCGCATCGATTGATTGCAAGTTTCAATCGTATAATTGTTTTACTGTTTACGATGCATTATGCATTACACCGTGCTAGGTTTTCGCATTGTAAATATTTGAGAGGATAGATGACAAAAGCAGAGACAATGATAATGATAATGACAATGATAATGATGATAATGACAATAGCATGAAAGTGATAATGATCTCTCGCAATAAGGGACTGTAATAGTAGCAGTAATAGTAGTAATAGTAGCAGTAGTAGAGTAATGGTAGTAATAATAATATATATAGTAATAATAATATTATTAATATAATAATATAATAATCATCATCATCATAAACTCTGCAATATTTAATACATTGTTTGTTCACATGGACTAGATACAGCTCTCTCAGAGCGATCGACAAATCGATACGCTCAATCTTTCTTTTCTCTTATTGTTGTCTTGATCCCTGTGCTCTACAAACCAGCGGGGATATGATGTGATCAGTCAAGTACGTTGATGGCAGACCAGAGTCACGCAATCTTTAATAATGTAGTTAGCAATTACCATTTGCGCGAATATTAATTACGCGTCCTTAACTCGACGTAACTTCGGCATCAGCGAGGAACAGGTCATATCTTTCTGGAAATATTAATTGCCAATATTTTTGCACTCTAAATTGCTTACGAAATGGTTCCTTCAGAGATCTGACTCAGTTCTGTACTTATAAATTAATAACTACTGTTCTCTTCAAGATATCAGAGATAACATCTTCTACGCCGTTTTGGATTGCAGTTTTTTTTAAGAAAAAGAAAGAAAAATATATATTTCAGATCTTTCAACCTATAAAAATATTTCTATATCGACAAAAAGTAACTCGCTAGAAATTATACGCAGTATCGAAAGGAGATTGTCGCGAAAAAAACCACGCACGCACATGCCACCTAGCTATGTTACTGGCACCAGAGAACGGACCTGGTCTTTACCTACTCGCATTTACACGTCTTTCATCTTGAATATCTAAGCGAATTGTCTTTCAAGCGAAAGCGATTCATCAACAAAGACTACAACACTTGGAAGCGTCTCCGAGGTGAATGTGGCACACGTTGGGCATGCCGGCGCAGCCCTTACCGACGATGTTCTCCTGCACTAGATGTGCGAGGCCTAAATTCTGATTGATGTCACCATCGCTACCGCGATGCTGTTTTGTCGTGGCATCGCACCACTGACGACGTTCCCGCCACTTGTCCTCGACTAACAGCACCGATTTAGGCGACGGCGGACTAACACGATCGCGAGTGATGCTGCCGCACGAACGAGCCTTGTAGAGGCGTCCTTTGCCAAAGATACCCGGTAGCGGTACGCAGAGCTTCTTGTGCACGGCGAAATAACGGCTTAACAATCGAATCTTCCTGTTCTTACACTCGTTTCTCTTACACTCGTTGATCGATCCGTTACCGCGATTCTCCTTGTCGTTACACGCCGCTTGACTCGCGCACTTATGATCGCCGCGACGCTCATCGCTGACGCTTTGACAATCGTCCGATTGCCGTTGACAGCCATTACTCTTTCCATCGGGACTGCGAGCGGACCTTGAGCCTTGCGATATCAGGGATTTTCCGGCACTGAGTGACCAGCTCTGTAACAATTTCGCTCCGAGACCTTTTGCCTTTTGTACAGTACTGGTTGCTATTTGAGACACAGGTGGAACAATATTGTGCTGAGAAGCCGTGCTATTTTGCGATATCGACGACGCCGATGATGAGGAGACGTTCTGTGTGTCAATTGCAGTCGAATTGCGCGACACGTGACAATGATTGTGACAAGATGTGGGTGCCTCGGCCTCCTGAACCTCGGTGATACGATTCAACGACTGGCTCTCACGCAATCGCGTCTCACCGGCTCTTCTCCTACCGGCGCGATGTCTCCTGCCAAACATTACCTGGTTCTCGGTGCATCGATGCC